GGAACTCGTTGTCGCGGTGCACCAGCCAGCTGCCGCCAGTCACGGTCAGCGTGTTTGCCATGAGCATGGCGAAGCCAAGACGGAACGTGCTGGACACAATCTGCAGCACGCTGCCGCCAACCACCGCAACGTCCTCAAACACACACGCGCCTTCGTAGAAGCCAATGCTCGGCACACTCCACGAGCTGTTCTGTATGGAGAACACGGAGCCGCCGCTGACACGGAGGTCCGACCAAAAAGCGTACATCACGTGCGCCCGCGAAATAACGACGCAGTTGTCCATGTAGAAGACGCTGGACAGGTTGGCGCCAAGGCCGTGCTCCACAAGTATCGCAGCGCACGAGCCCCCGCCACACACCAGGATCGACCGCGTCATGACAAACCGCGTCGACAGAAGCCGGACGCCGTCCAGGACAAGCGCGGGGCCGTACCGGGATCCCTCGTGGCCAATGGTCGTCGGCACGTACTGCGACCCGCCAACCGTCGCGCGCAGTGTTGAGTTCGCCAGCAGCACACTCGAGTGCGGCGGCATCGCGCCCTGCAGCACAATCGTGCCCTCCAGCGACGTCACATTTGTCATGTTGACGAGGGCGTGCGGCACCAGGTGCGCCGTGCTCTCGCTGAGGCCACCAATCCGCAGCTGCGCGCCGCCCACAAGCACGCAGTGGCGCAGCGTCACGTTCAGCGCGTAAGCAAACGCGTCCATCGAGCGCAGGTCCACCGCCACAGTGATCGGCCCACTGAACACCACCGAGTCGAAGCACGCCGTCGCACGCCCGCCGCCAACCGTCACCGACTCCGTCAGCGTCACGCCAATCACGCAGTCCTGCGCACCGCCACCACCGCCGGCCCTCGCAGGCGGCACGTCGAACGGCAGGCACGCCTCGCCCACACCGCCGGCAAGGCAGCTGCACACGCAGTCAGAGAACGACGCCGTCAGTCCATCAAAGCACGCCAGCGCGGCCGCACAGCCGTCGCAAGGCACCACGCTCACGGAGGGCAGGCCGGCCATGCGGTAGTCGCCGCTGCTCCGCAGCACCCGGCCGCCGGCACGGTTGCACTGCACCGACACGGCACCGCTCGTGATCGTCGGCCCGGAGACAAGCGTAGCGCCAGTGGCAGCGCAGCGCGCAATCGACACGGTGCCGCCGCTCAGCGTCACCCCCGACAGCGACGCCACAGACGACGCCTCGCCCACCGCCCACACGTCCTGCAGGTCCAGCCACCCGCCGGCATGGATCGTTCCACCGTCGCAGCGCACCAGCGACGACGCAACAGACCCCTCGACGCCCACGAAGCGCAGCACCGAATCAACCACCGCGAGGCGCTCGCCAAGCACAATGCCGCCGCCACGGCTCACTACCGACACGTTCGTCACGGAGAACACCGAGTGGCTCCGCAGACTGAGACGCGAAGAGGACGCCACATGCATCGCGGACGCGGTCGGACCGCCCGACGCCTCAAGCGACACGCCGTCAAGCACCACAGCGCTCGACAGCAGGTCCACGCCGCCGCCAACGTGCACCGCCGACCCGCCCGCGTGCAACGACCTCAGCACAGTGTTGCTCACACGCAGCTGCGTCTGCAACAGCGACGTCGCGTGCAGCACAAGCGGCGACGCCACCACGTCCGTCAGCCCGCTCAGCTGCGAGTAGCGCATCGGCCCCGGCGTAATAATCGTCGAGTCACGGACCGTCACGTTCGTGTGTGCCGGCAGGTTGTGCTCAAACACGAGCGAGCAGTAGCTCCCGGACAGCCCGCTCACGCTCACCTCCAGGCTCCGGTCACTCGCCGGCTCACCGCTGTAGCCCCGCACGTAGATCTGCGCGCCGCCGTCGCACACGCAGTCCTTTAGTTCGATGCGCAGCGCGCCGGGAAGCATCGCCGGCACGTCAAACACCACAGCCACGCCGTTCGTGATGCACACGCCGTCCAGCAGCACCGTGTCCACGGCGCGGCCAACCGTGATGGCTCTGTCCACCGTGCCGCCCCGCAGTCGCAACACCACCGCATGCACCGCGGGCATACACGCCGCCGCCGCAACCAGCGCCAACACAAAAAGAAGCGCCGCACGCACAGCCGTAATGGCCATGTGCCGTACACGATGCCGGCTGCGCGGACGCGCACCCACCGAAGACCGCATCCACAGACACAAACAGGTACCAACAGGGCTGTCGTGTTGTGTCGCACTAGACGCGTCGACCATAACTCCCGCCTAATGAATCCCTTTCTACAGATGGCAAATCTAGTGATACGATCCGCCAGATCGTATCCCTACTACTTCTAATCCTACAGCAATTAATCCCTAACACCTTGAAACGATAGTCGTGCTGGCGAAGCCAAATTACACTTAACTGCACGGTCAGAGGAGAAGAAGGAAGCAGAGCAACAGCAAATAAACACAGTGACACACAGAGGCATCCGGTCACAGACAGTCCCCACCAAAGCACAAACACCGACACAAAAAAGCACAGACACAATCACGCCAGTGACACCATCGCCCTCCACCCGCCCACGCAGCCTCAAACAACAACCATGCAGAGTGGCAGGATCCCGGCAAAAAGTAAAATGGCCATTGGCACCGCTCCTTTTACCAAATGCCTCTACCACAGAGCAGTCCTGATGCCGTGAAAGACACACAAGGGCCGGGACAGACCACGTGGCAGCGTTACAACCGGCGGCCATCGAGCGCGTCCAAGGATGAAATGGTGACGTGGAAGAGGGGTGGAGGACTCGCCGTTCGCCAGCAGAAAAAGCGTCTTTTCTCCCTCACTTGGGTCGGCATTGCACAACAAACAGCGTCACCATACGCGTAAACAGCACACACAAGAAGGACGAATGAAGAGGTACAGTGGCGGCACTCAGACACGGGGGACAAGAACCCGGATTAATTGTGCGGTCGGTGCCTTCCTCCTCAAACTGGGGCGCCACTCCAACAACGCCGTCGCCCGCCTCCTCCCCCACCAACACAACAAGGGAGCAACAGCGGGAGATGCGACAATCGCGACGAACACGCAGCCGCAGAGTCCCATTGCAGCCGCCATGACCAAACAAAAGGGGACTGCACAGAGCACCTTATCCAAACCCTCAGCCATCATACTTTTTAGAAAAAAGGAGGAAGGGAGACATGCCGACAGAACCGTCTGTTTCATTCCTGCCTCTGGTTAAAAAACAACACAACAACAAGACAACAGCCAAGCGCACAACAATGCGGGCAAGAACACACACACACATCATCGCGGCGCCATCGGTATATGCACAAGGAGGATGAGGCCTTCCACATAGGTCGTGTCCCACCGCGTGCATAAAATGCAAGACAGCGTCCGCACAAAAAACGCACACACCGCCAGCAATCACCCACAATGGACAAGAGGAGACACACCACCACCGCCTCCAGTTCAATCCCACGACCAACAAGATACGGCCACAGCCCGCTGCCGGCACACAACGCACACGGAGCTAGCAATCACACAAAGAGCCGCACGCAGAAGCAATTCCTCACCCAGCCATGACGTGGCAACAAAATTTCCAGCCATTACACCCACAATGAGACTTGGTGCCCAACTCAAAGCAGTCGTAGGTGGTGCATCACACCCGCAGGAAAGGTGACTCGCGGTGCACTCCCTCTCCTCCTTCCCTTCATGCCCACTAAAGGAAGCAGCAGCCACCCGCAACCGCCAGCACACGCTAAAAAAAAAGCATCCAAATCCACTGCAATGTGCATCTTGTTGTGTGTGCCTGCAGACACACGAAGCAAAGAAGTAAAAACAGGAGCAGAGCATGTGAAGGGACGCACACACAAAAAAATTGTACGGCGGAGGTGCATGGCAGAAATAAGTAGAAAAAGACTGCTCAAGCTCATGATATTGCACTGCAGAAAAAGCAGCGGCCATTCATTAAAAATTAACAAAAATAAATAAAAATTCATCTTCGCCCTTCCACACCACACACTTTGGAAAAAAGAAAAAAAAAAGAGAAAAAAAAAAGAAAATGTCGTCCTCTACTACGCCTACACACAAATAATTAAAAAGGAAAAGAAAAAAACACAAAAAAAAGCACCCAACTACCATCTAGCTCCAGAAATTGTCTGCATATTTTGTCCGAAAAATAAGATTAAAAATATATTTAAATGTATTTCAGCCGTCCGACCCTCCATGTGTCCGCACATCGTTTATATTCCATGGGGTCATCTGCGTGTTGCTGCTCCCCTCAGCCCTCTCATCGGCGCGTGAGTGCGGCCCGCAGAGCACAGTCACTCGTGTGTGGGAACTGAGAGAAGCACGCAGACATGAAGGGGGTCGCGTCTCTCCATCGGGGGAGTGAGCGCAGCAAAAAAATCTTAAAAACACGGCGGCAGGGTGTGGCTGTGTGTGTGGCGCTGCGGGTGTCTGCCCGCCCTGGCCGCAAAAGAAAAGCAAAACAAGAGGGAAGAAATATGTGCTCCGCCCCACAGGCCCTCGTCGCACGCCCACACGTCACGGCTCCCTCAGCGCGCCGTTCGTCGCGGCCCCTCCTCATGCGTGCAGCAGGCGAGGCGCACAGGGCCGTCGTCATGAGCGTGTCGGTGGGTGTGCGAGTGGAGCAGTTGGGCGGGAAACACACGGCACCCCTCACAGGAAGAGTGCAGCAACAAACAATTAAAGAGGGAAGAGTAGAAAAGAAAAAGAAATTCCATAGTGATTGCCCCCAAAAAGCAAAAAAAGAAGGGAAGAGTGGAGCAAAAAAGAAAAAATAGAAATAAAAATTTTAAAGCAAACAAAAATAATTAAAAACAAACATTAAAAAAAAACATTAAAAATTATACTCCGAACAGAAAAAAAAAATTTTTAAGCCGGAAAAAAAACGTTCATGGTGGTTGCCCTAAAGTAGCAAGGGAAAAATAGAAAAAATTAAGAGGAAACAAAAACAAATTATTCTCTGCGGAGTAAAATTTATTCCTAGCGGTGTGTGTGTCGGTGCAGGGAAGGGCGCAAGTGTCCCACACTGAGGTCGCACACTCCTCACGCAGCCGCAAACCCCCACAACCCCAACAGCAGAAGAAGCAGCGGCAGCAGTCCGCTCTCACGCATAGTGCCAGCAACGCTGTTATCCCACTGCGACGAATTTAAAAGGCTGCTGCTGAGTGTCGCCGCCTCTGCTTCCTTGACCTGTGGATGGAGCCCATCTTGTCCCTTGCCTTCAGCGTTATGTGTTGCTGCATTTGCTGCGTCGGGGGTGCCCACAGAGAATTGGGTTGGTTGATCTGCCTGCATCATATCTCCACCTTCCGTCCCCACCGTTTGTGCATCATCAGATGAGGAAGCACCAACATCAGTACTGGCGGCGCCTGAAGATGTAACAGATGCCACAGCTTCATGTCCATCGGAAGATGTGGCAGATGCCAGCTGGTCTGCAGTTCCCTCCCTTGCTGAGGATGTCGCGGCATTGAGCTCCTCTGGCGTGGATGTCGCGGCATTGAGCTCCTCTGGTGTGGATGTCGCGGCATTGAGCTCCTCTGGTGTGGATGGAGCGCCACCACTCGGAACACTGCTCCCGTTCAAAGTTGCCTGTTCCGTCGGCTGTGGTCCGGCAGTAGCAGGCGACGGCACAGTTGGCTGCATCTCTGTGGTAACCGAAGTGGTCAAAGGTTCAACGGGCGGGGAAGTAGTTGTCAACGCTTTCGCCGGCACCGGCTTCCTTTCCGGAGGTGGAATGGTGACTTTACTCGCGTTGAGGGCACCAATCTCAGTTTCATTCAACGGGCGGTTGTACAGAAAGACGTTCGCCACCGTCGCATGGATTTTTCCGCTGCTCAACTGCTCATCGTACGCGCCAAAGTAAAAGTGCGAGACCGTGTCCAGCCCTCCATTGAACGAATTTTTCAGACTCCTATTCCAAAGGAGAGTCCCGTCAACGTACACGGAGCCCATACCGTCATGCATTTTGAGCACCACGTGATACGTCTTGTCCAGCTCCCATGCGGTAAAACACTTCGGGAACAAGTCATTCACCACGCTCCACTCCATATTATTATTGTACGACAGTCCCAGGAGTGTTGTCTTCCCCATTCTCTTCAGGCCCATCAGGGGAGTGATGCCCTTCGGCACCTCGTGGATCGACACCGTTGCCGCAAGAGTAAACCCATAGTTTGCAAAGTGGAGCGGTCTGGTCGGCCACTGCTTGTCCACAGGCCACTCGGCCCCCGCGCCTTGCCCTTCGAACGTCCACCCACTGGGAGCCTTTTTCGTCGCACCCCTCACAACGGCATTCACCCCGAGGTACTCGTCCTCCCACTTGTCCCCACGGAGCCTATCGGCCAAATGGCCCACAAGCCCAGCCGTGGGGAAAGGAACAGAACAGCCCCATCTTGACAGCGCGGCGTCTGAGGCAATTGAGCTGCATTGTCTCGACAAGGCATTGTCCGTTGCGGCCCAGGTAGACAGCGCATGCCTTATCTTCTGCAGCTCAAGCGTCAGATCCAGGAAGAAGGCTCCAGAGTTGCTTCCACCACTGGCCTCGTACAAACAATACAGCTTATCATTCGCGTACAACAGGGAGCTGGAGGTCGCGCCATACCCAGTGGGTAACAGGCCAACGTGGTAAATGCGGTTCGTGTCCGTTAGCCACAGGTGAATCTCGCTCTTCTGGTTGTCCTCGAAATATTCCAGCTGGGTGAGGAGGATCACCTTCTTTCTGCCAATCGTTGCAGTGATGAATCCACTCTGAATGTGGAGCCCAAGACCTGCCAATGAGTTGCTCCACACGCGCGAGAGCGTCCCCAGAGCCTCCGTCCACGTTTTCCTCTTGTCAGTCGACTCGTACACTCTTCTGCGGCCGCACTCACATGAGGTGATCATGATAATTTTCCCAGCCTCCCATTCAAGTATACTGGGGTTGGTGCAGCCCGCATGTGTCGCGCTGTTCGCAAAGGTCCAGTGCTGTTGACCGGAATTCCAGTACATGACTGTGGACGCAGTGCTCCCTCCCATTGTCAGAAACTGCACGGGAAACACGAGCGTGCCATCCGTCATTTTCGTGATGGGAGTACTGGCATCGTTGAGGAAGCCAATCATGTCACCGGGTTGATAGAGATAAGGAAGGCGAACGCTCATAGAGACGGAACTCATCGACAAACCTCCGCTTCGTCCGGGCTCCGTCCCCAGAAAATGGATAACAGACTCCACACCACTTACTCCCCGCCCATCGGTAAACCGAATTATGGCTCCGTTCCGTAAGTCGTAGCCCTCCACAAATGCAAAAAGCGGTCCGAAGAGTATGAAAGGCGTGGTAAACAACATCTGGTGAAGGCGTGCAGCAAAAGCGTCAAGATCTCCAGGTCTCGAGTACGGACTCCAATTCACCCCATCATCATTGCTGATCCGTGCCATCAACTGCATGGACGCACTCCCGCTCCCCGCAGATTCATTGAACTGAGCTCCAGCAATGACCAGAAGCATCCCGTCCACATTCACAAGATGGGGATTGCGGAAAATGTGGCCAGCGGCCGCTGTGTTTGCGGCTCGATACTCCCCTGGCGACTGCTCAGAACTGCGTCCTCCATAGGAATCGCACACTCTCGTTCCAAAGCTTTGGGCCTGCACAGGCCCCACGGCGGCGCACGTCAACGCGAAAAGGAGGAGCAGCACCGCAGAAGCAAACACACGCCGGGACATGTGGGGCCTCCGCGGCTCACTCTCTCTTCCTTCCCTCCTCCTTCCGTGGGATCCGGTCACGCGGCGACGGTTGTGTGTGCGGGGTGCCTTCACTGCAGCAACACGTGAGAGCATACAAATATGTGTGGGCGGTGTGTGTGCAGTTGTTGGTCCTTTCAGAGCCTTCGAATTCCACAGTAGCGATTCGCGTTTGGTAGTAACTTCCTTCTTCATAAGGAGCAACAGAGAACAGAAGCAGAAAGGCAGCACAACAGCAGTACACACCTGAACCACTCACAGCGAAACACAAAATCACCATCCAACCAGTCAATATTCTACAGCACCCCTCAACAGCACGCACACAGAAATTAGGGGAAAAAGTGAGCAGCCTCCCAATGGGGGACCGCAGGCCATGGCTCTGCAAATAAGGCAAGCGACGGGGGGCCACGTGTGGAGTGAGGAAAAAGAGAGTTGCACTGCAACGGCACGGCGGCGTGACACCCCGTGGAGAGCATCGATGCGGACCAGCACGTCACGTGCAAAAAGAGTTGCTTCTCCCGCCGAGCAGAGAGAGAAAACGGCCTCAGTAGCCCAATAGTGAGAGGTCGCCTGCACCTCCTCGCAGCACCTGCAGGCTCTGCAGGCAAAAAGTTGCAGATGACGCTCTGCTAAACGCATGACGGCCGTTGCACCCTTCACAATGGCAATTGCATCCTGTGGCACCACACGCCGCAGTCGGTGCGCACAGTCTCCGTCCTCCTTCCCTCCTTTCCCTCTCCCTGAGAGCTCATTGATGGCCGTGGCACACCCACCGACATGTCAGAAATCACTTGTTTTTCTTCTTCCCTCGCACATCGCACAGCAGCACCGCCAACCTCATTTTATCTCCCTTTATTTTACGTACCCTCTTCCGTCAAAGCTTCCGATACTGCCGTCCGCCCACCTCCGTTCATGTCGCCTCCCCTTCGGGTGCTCGCACCACACTCACGGCCCTCTTGATTGTTATCGTCTGGCCGCATTACGCTTCCATCAGCACCATTGGGAATGGATCCTCGCATGAATGAAGATTGTTGTCGCAGAGCGTTGTCGCCCTCCTAATCAAAGGGAAACAACAACGGATAAACTCCCACAAAAAAAAGCATGGCAGTCTTTCCCTACGAATGTGTGCACCCAAACTCATCACATCCGTTCCCCCTCGTCAGTCATCCATGCCCACAGCACCGCGAAAGCACGTTTTCACCCGTGATCCCGGAAAGAAATGCCGTTTCCCTCACCACCATCACATCCACACTGGTGCGCAGTTGCCGCTCGCACGTACCCCCTTCCACATAAACAAAGCCAATCCACAAACGATAAAATAAAAAAGCAGCGCGATGCGTTGACGGATTCCTTCCGTTCCGTCTGTTTCGTGATGAAGCCCCGCCTCCTTGCTTATGTATTTCTGTCTCCTCTTTATGTCACCCACACAAATAAAATGCTCAAACAAAGTCCTGAAAACCCCTTTTATAAGTCACCGACACCTGCTCTGCGCCCTTGTGTCGCGTCAATAAAAGACCCTCATTCACAAATGCACCCCGATGTTCAAAAGGAATACCCGCACCCGATAATCCTTTAACAGAGTATTAGGAGCAAGCTCAGAAACACGCACCACCAATACAATCATAAAGCCCGTAATGAAAAGGCCACTCCAGCATGGACCTTTTTTAAAAGTCTTCATAGAAAACGGCCATGTACGAATTGAACTTGTCCAGACAAAACATTCCTCTGTGTCAAATCCATTCTCGTCATGAATCCTTCATGAAACCCCGCCGCACTGGTTAAACTTTCACCACTCAATCGGCCACGGCAAGCAAGAAATGAAACAGCCACATAAGGACAATCATCCGGTAAAGCATGCCTTTGGCTTTGTAGGCGGATAATCGCACAGAAACAGTGCCCATCCACAAGGAAACAGCATACACTGCGGCTCCTGCACTCCCTAATAAGCGCCTCATAAAATAAAAATTTGTGTCGCGATTTCAGAGCACTGAAGTACAAAAAAAAAAATGAATTGAGGGCAACAGTCGAGCACAACCTCTACTGAGTCTTTCTCCGCAGGGAGAAAGGGCACCAAGCACACTGCGCTCGACATTCACTCACAATAAGACACCAATAAATAAGCCAAGGGCGGTGTGGAAATGGATTTATTCCATTCAGCAGCCCCAGCGGATCATAAAATACAAAAGGGGCCCAACGTAACGATGGTTCCTATCATGGCACCACACAACGTCGTGCTTCCATTTCAGGATGGGAATTAAGGAGTTAGCTGCAAGTGCAGAAACCGTCTTCTCCAC